GAAGAGTAGAATCTACCTCTGGCCCCTGAAGAGAGGGAACACAATGGGCAGGCACTAGCCCAACCTCCAGATCAAGTTCTGGGGGAAATAATTGTACCAAAACCCAGTTTTGGTACACGGAGGCCCTTTTTAAAAGCAACAAGTACAAATACTCCACGGCGTGGGAAGGAGAAACCTCTCTACCAGCCTAGAACAAACAAGGGGAGAGTTCTCCAGAGGCAAGAGCCAGAACCTGTGCCCTAGTATAGCCACATAAGGCTCACCTTCCATGCACACTATGGGCAAGGTGCTTGGCAGGAAAATAAGCGCATGGGCCTTGTTGATGGGAGAGGTAGATATACAGGAAGTCTCCTGTGCTGTGACTGCCTCCCGCCCTGTCCCTCCTACAGAAAAAGGGAGAGGGAATGCAGACAGGGTTGGAGAGCTGGTGAGAAGCTGTTTCACCCTGCACAGCCTTCCTAACAAGTGGTCAGGAGCTAGGGAACGCTGCCACGATAATTGCTACCAGGCTCTGTACACCTGCGAGCCCAACATGTGGGCTCTGGAGTGCAAGTATTTGTGCTCCAAACACTGCAATTGTTGGCCGCTGGCTTGTCACTGCTGCAAGAAGGGTGTGGGTTGGAGTTCCTTTGCAGGGCTCTGCAACCTTCTGCTAGGTTGGTGCCAGGAGCTCCTGGTTACCCACCCCTGGTTTCCATGGCCCAATGTATACGTACCCTACCTGTCATATCAGCCCTACTCTTCCCCTCCCCTACCACGGGAGACAGGTGCTGATCTGAAAGCAGAACATTTTCAATCCTGTGCATGGCTCATAGTCCTCTTGGTAGCCGTTCTGTATACCCCAGCACGTTCCATTTAAGCGAAATCTTCAATTGAGGGATCAGAAAGACATGGACTCTGCAGCAATGTAAGCCCATCTTTTGGGCAATCAGACCCATAGATAGCACAAAGCATTACTGGAAATCTTTAGCTCTCCTGAAAATGGAGAGGTACTTTTATCACTTTTCTTTTTATAGCATCACATTATCCTCTCTGTATCCTTGGCTAAATGATGACTAAGTGCACATTTGTGTGCTGGGGGGGGGGGGGGGAGTGTTGTGATAACTGTTTATGAGAATTTAGAGTATCAACACCAGAGGAGGAGCATTTTGAGGTTGTCCAAGGCCACGTAGATAGGAGGAATGAGTAGAGCAACAGAACATTTAGGTTGACTATGAAGGACAGTTACCTAGTAGCGAGGTCTATTAGATGGCGAAATGGTCTCCAAAGGGAAGTGATGGATGCCCAGTCACATTTTAAAACCAGACAAATTCTGCTCAAAGTAATATTTTTGTAAGATTGTTTGATCTTTGACTTTCTATCTTGTCCATCTGCAGAGTGACCAGGATCTCCAGTAGATTTCCCTAGTTTTTACATCAGTGAAAGCAAAATTTGGCCAAGCACATGATACTATAGTATACAGAGAATCAGCCTTGCAGAGATTATGTGGGTTGGGGGGAGCATGTTAAGTCATGCAATATGGCTTTTCTACGTCTAACTTCCATGAACCTGGCAGAGCAGCTAAAAATGAGGAGCAGACTAAAAGCTTGGGGCTAAATTTCCCCAAAGGGGCCTGAATTCCAAGTTCAAATACTGGACCACAGAAGGACCTGATTTGCCTGCCTATGCCATGACACGCCCATGGAGAAATGCAGGTTATTTGTAGTCACTCCAAAACCCTGACCCGTTGTGTCTAGCCCCAGTGTAGCAACTGTTTTCTCCATAAAATTAAGGTTAATTAAACTAGATGCACTGCTCCACCACAGCAAATTGTGGTTGAGCCTGGGCAGCTCAGAGGTCTCCCTGTCTCACTGTATTTGTCATCGTTACAGATAGTTTTGCTGACTTGCCACATAGCAGAGCTGTTGCTTCTTATCCAGAGGGTAACCCTATACGTAAACTAGCTGGCATCAGCTAAACTGATTCATCACCAAGACCCTTACCTAAGCCACATAACTCAGAAATCAGGGATGAGTCCTACAAAATGGGGCAGTGATCATAGCCCAGGTAACCTCTAAGCTTTTTTGTCTCGCTGCAGCTGGTGTGATCAGCCACTGGAGGTCATGCAAAACTGATAGGGAACGTACTGTACATCTGAATCGCAGGCCTGGCTTGCAAAACCAGACCTGAAGCTTAGGCTCTGAACTGTGCAGATGGGGGCCTGTGCGCCATCAGGTGCCTTTGCTTTTGTGTGCTACATCCCAGACAGGGAAACCATGTCTTACTTTCAGAGTAGTTCTTGGGAACCAATAGTTCTTTTTTAAAATTACTAGCTCCTACACTGCTGTAGCAGGACAGTTCACTGGTCCATCACATCATCTAGCACCCTGCCAGCAACAGGCATGCTGTAGAGCAGGGTAGAAAGGCCACATATTGCACCTGCCCATCTGTGATGTGTTTACTTTGAGAAAGATTCCTTCCATGGCCCTTACTTCACACCTCAGCCCCAGGGCTCAAGATATGCTTATCATGTACCCTTGCAAATTGGTTTGTTCTATTCTTAATTAGGGCACCAATGCAAAGCAAATGGTTTATGTATGGAGCTAGAGTATGGCATCATTTGTTTCTCTGCACTGCTGTGTAAAGCAACTCACTGTCAGCACTGGGATGTGGGTGCCAGAGCTGGGTAGCTGATCAGGGATTAAGGTTGGAGAATCATACCATTAAAGCTAAAGGTGGAGCAGGCAAACAGAGTCCAGGAACAAATCAAGTCGGCAACCAAAGGAGGCAATTCACATGCAGAAGTGAGCTTGGCCAGGAACCAAGACTCTCCAAAAACAGCCTAGAAACTAGAAGAATCCTATTGCCCAGATGCTTCCTGTGGCTCTTCTTTCTCTTAAATAGGGGAAGTGGCTGGTCAGGTGTTATGAACCAGCCACTTAGCTCCCAGAGAGTGGGTGGGCTCTTGGGCATCAGTTGAGGTCTACCCTACCCCCATCCAACCCAAAGAAGCAGTAATGTGGATGGCAGGTTGGGGTAGGCTGTTGTATTGGCTAAGGCCCTGGGTTCAAGGCTGCAGGTAACATGGCCTCATCTCTAAGACGGTGAGTGCAAGGGGGCCAGTTTACAGATACCATCCGAATGCTCGTGGACCTTTTGGAAACGTCAAGGCACTTACCCTGGAGGGCACATCAGGCTCCTAAAAGCAGCGCGCTAGATTCTCAGCTGGAGATCCTTGTAGCTCTATTCAAGTCATTGAAAGCCACGCCGGTTTATGCAAAATGCGAAGCTGGCCCATAACAAACACCAGCACTGAAAAACGCCAACTGGGCTCTGCCTGACAATGAGGGTGTGATCCTCACAGCACAGTCTCTGAAGCTGCAGCCGGTGTTACCCCTGGTGCGTGGGAGGGTTGTGAGGGAGGACATGAAGCAAGGTACTTCTAGGAATGGAGTTTTGTCTTCAGAGGAGACCATTGCTTCTGGGTGCCCAAGTGGAGGCATCTTCAATATGACTGCCAGCAGTGTGATGATGACTCAGGTCAACCTGCAAGACACGTCATTAATGACATCCCTCAGCTCTGACGTGTCAGGGGCCTGCTCCCTGGGACGCGAATACCCATTGACCCCCATCTCTGGCTCTCCTGACATTGGCGGTAGCTTGCAATGGGAGCCGATCAATGAGGCGCAGACCAGGGAAATTGATTGTCCCTACACACTATCCAGCCCAACATAGCAATTTCAAGCCAGCCAAGATAACAGAAGAGACACTGATGCAGAAGTAGCCTCCTATCTTGTCTCTTGTTCACACTCAGTGTGGTGGTGTGTGGAATTCGGGAGTGTAAACAGGTATAAACCCCTGAAATTTCTCCCTCAGCTAATTTCAAGGACTATTTACCCAACTGGATACACACGGATTACGAAAGGCATTGCAGGGCATGTTTGATTAGTTCAGTCCCTACACAGTTCAGTGCAGCTGTCAGAATAAATGTCTTCTTTAGAGGGCAGGGGAAAATACATGTTGGGTTAAGGGACTCAATAGCAGAGCAGTTCCCAAACTTCAAATACACAGTGCGTGGGACACAGAGGCAGGAAAGGCCTCTTGTAAAATCAACTGTTCACTTACAAAAGATAAGCTGAAAAGAAAAATGGCATCTATCTGCAGCCCGATATAAACCCCAGAAGGTGGGTTTATGTGAGATCTCCCACCTCCTTACCTGTCTGAGCTGCTTGCATTAGGGTTTTATTTTACTTTTGCTTTTAGATTTGATTCTTGACCATAGGGGTTTGTTTTTCCCCCTAGATGGGATATTAGGTAGAAAAGGATATTAGTGGCAAAGAAGCCTTGATATTAGGATGGTAATAGGACACCAGAAGAGCAGACAGGGAACCTACTTTCCAGATCTGCCTCTCACTTGCTGTTTGACCATGATCCTGTTGCTTGGGGCCAGATTTCTAAAGATATTCAAGTGCCTCAAGCTGTAGTCTGGGTACTTAATGCCTATTAACTTCAATGGAGGTGAGGCATCTAGGTACTTTAGAAATCCTTCTATGCTTCTACCCATATTTTTAGTGTCAAATAGCATTAAAAATCCAGCCCATTGGTCCTGGATTTTCCAAAATGTTCAGGCCCCTACAGTAAGGCCAGTCACACAAGGTCAGTAGACTAGGTGTGTGTTGAAAATGCAGTTCCTTGGAGCGCTGAGCATTTGAAAACCTGCTCCTTAGGGTCTGACCACTACTGGGTCCCACCAGTTTCAACTACTGCTGTGGATACGAGCAATTGAAAATGAGCCCCTTCACCTCTTTCTGCCTCCAAAGCTTGCTTGGGGAAAAATGAAGTCATTCACTTCAGGAAACAATCAGGTACGCTTCTGTGGAAGCTCACAGCAGTGCTGCACCCCTCGACAAGAAACAATCAGAGAGCAAAAGGGAGCAAAAAAAGTGTCAGTCAAGTACATGTCAAGGTGGTTTGAAGGACATGAGCTGTGTGACCTTCTGCTCCATTAGAACTGGCAGCCTCTGACAGCGGATCAATAATCCGCCGCTAGCAGTTGTAGCGGGCGGCCCAAGCGTAATAGCGGTGGTGGTGTCTGCTGTTATTGCTGACAGGGTGAGGAGAAGGGTGAGACGGAGACTGGAGGGCCAGGCTCGGAGTAAATTGTTATTTACGCTTTCAGGGGTTTTTAAAGACATGCGCTCCCCAACGTGGGTCTGATTTCAGAGACGGCAAGAGCCATGAGGATTCCAGGCACCGTCCTCCACTTGCTTCTCGTGCAGCTCAGCTCCTCTCACATCATGCACTGGACATACAAAGGTAACAACCCCACAAAAGAAACTACTGCTTTTCAATTGCTGCTGGCTCCGCCAGCTTCCTTAAGGCAGTCCTGTTCTTTTGAGCGCTTGGCTTTTCTTTTCTGTTTAAAAAAAAAAAAAAAAAGTAACACGGCAGCTAATTTATTTCCCTTTATTGATGCCAGTGTAATCTTGAACGCTGTTCTTTTCAGTGTCAGCCCCTCTGACTCCTTTGTGCTGTTGGGGTATGTTGTCAGGCAGAACAATAGGTGGCAAACAATGGAGAAAAATCTTTGCAGGGCTCTAAAAAAGAAAAAAAAAAAGCTGACCTTCTGTCGGTCCTGAAAAGAAAAGAATAGGTTTCCCATTACAGACTGCTTACTGACTCTGAGTTTCAGAGGGTGTGGAACAGCGATACAGAGGCAAGACCTGCCTGCTTGTATGTTCGCCCTGGTGAAATGTTTCTTAATTCTTAGTACTCTGCAAGTCTTTCTGCTTTGGTGGGTCTTGACTCCTGCTGCCACCCAAGAGGCAGTAAAATGCACACATTTTTTTCTTCTTTAATTGCAATTGCGGCACTGGGCTGCAATTGTTATCTCTGGCATCTCGGAGCCTGCAGCTCCACGGCATCCGTGCCAGAATGAATGGCAGGGACCAGGCGAATGGCCTGCAAACTGGCATGCCAGAGGTGAAGCGAAAGGGAAAAAGTCTGGCAAATGCTAAATGGATTTCTAATGGGGCAGTGACAGTAATTATAAATTGGGAGGATGCTGAAGGAGCTTAGAACAATGTTTAACAGGATTAAACAGATCATCTCTTGAACTGCTGCGATAACCCTTCACAGTCAGATATTTCAGCAGTACCTTGGGATTTTCACCTTGACTCTGGTATTCTGTTTCTCAGCAAGAAATGGCCAAAGTGGATCAATATATTGTAAATTTTAAGGGAGCCGCTGAAGGGGAGGGATGGATTTCCACATTGATTCTAAGCCAGAGGAGTGACAGAGATGGCATCAACAGCTCTACTTAGTCATAAAGTCCTAAATATAGGAGTACACAGGCAAGGCAAATGGCCTCGGAAGTTTAAAGCAGTGCTTCACTATTTGGATAACAATTGTTTTGGGAAAAAGAGGGGAGCAAGTGTTAAGTGCTTAGATTGAACCAAAGCTGAAATGTATTGACATTTACATTTAAAATGTTAAAAGAGAGGGAATGTCAAATCTGTAGTGTAGTCCAGATGACTGGTGACTCAGGATGCCTGGGATCTATTTCTAGCTCGATGGATGATTTGCACGAGAAGCTTCCCCGTGCCTCAGTCACCCACGTGAACAAAAATGGGTTAATGATACCTACCTGCATTAATAATGGGTGTCAATTGATTTAATCAGAAGTCATTGAAACAGAGGTGCTAAGTAAGTGCCAAGTTATATTCATTAAGCATCTATTATTAAACCTCTTAAAGAAAAGAAGTAGGGGGAGTAATGGTGGCAAAGGCAAGACCCTACAGTTTTAACCAGCCCCAGTTCCTTGGGTCATGATTGGCCAATGAAGAGGCTTTGCTGCCTTGCTGGCAAGAGAGGAAACCCTCCTCGCCATCACTGATGGAGCAGTATCCCCTGCTGTGTGGTATTCATCTGCCCTTCTTCCCTTCCACCTTGCAGAAGGAGAGCTGGATGAGGAGCACTGGGGAAGACACTTTGCCGACTGTGCTGGCAAGCACCAATCCCCCATTGATATTCAGAAGAGGAAGGTAAGGTACAACCCACACTTGATGCAGCTGGAGCTCAGTGGTTACAACGGACCCTTGCAAGGGAATTTCACCATGACCAACAACGGGCACTCCGGTAAGTGGCAGGGACCGAGGCAGTTACTCTGAAAGAAGGCATCATTGCTGATGAGGCCAGGAGCTGGAAGGCCAACGCCTTGAAACAGCAGTTGGGACCTGGGGCACCTAGCTTGCCATATTCACTGTCAGTTTTACCACTAGCTCTAGCCAGGTTCCCTGGTATTAATGGTGAACAGGCTGTTTTCACCTTTGGTATCTTATGGACTTGTCATTATAGCCTAGGTTTGCTTTCACCTAAGTCAGTGGTAAAGCCCTGTGGGCCTGATCCTGGAATATACTGAGCACCCACAACTCCTGCAGCCTGTGCTGGGAATAGCGAGGGTCAGGCCGTCCATCTCTGTCACACAAGGCATCCTGTGCAGAGACCCATATGCACTTAAGCTATGCTTTGTGGTCTTAAGTAGTGCACAGGCCCCTGCCTTACCTGCACAAAAGGATGCTTGTGCGGGGCTGAGTGCCCCCCCCCCCC